ACTATCGTGTTATCATAATAACTAATTATATTAAATATAGTGGGTGTGCTGTCGCTGGAGTTCACAGTTGGTATGTCTTCATAGGAAAAAATATTTTGTGATTTGATTGGTATTATTGAAATGATTGATAAAATTGCAAAAACGAGAATACAATGATTAAATTTCATCTTAGTAAATTTTCGAAATTTGAACCAAGGCGATAACAAAGAGTTTAAATCATTTTTCGTCCAAATAGAATCCAAAATAGGTAACACGATTGTTTAAAATAACACAATAGTTCGGTTAAGCTCATTAAATATGTAGTTTAGACGAAACTACTAGAGGCCTGCGTAAGTATATATATTAAGCCCGATCAGAATTTAAAAATGTCAGCCCGGCCCGGCCCGGACTTAAAATAATAGGAAAACCTGGCTCAGCTGGTATTTATTATTTGCGGTTCAATATGACGCGAAATTTAATAATTCGATTTACTATTCTGGATTTCTAAAAGACGGGACTTGGTACATATTTGATTCAAATAAATTGAACTTTACTGCTAGATTAAAGACTAAACATTAAATAAAGAGGAATTTAGGAGCGAACCAACGTTTTTCAGGCATTATGACCGCATATGCAAGCTAAATATGTAAATATAACAATTATAGTAGGATGTATATATCACGCGACACCTTAATACTACGATAGGGGCGGGAGAAAGGTAAATAAAATTTTCTTGATCAGTTTCGATCAGCAAACATGCGATCAAATGAGGCGCAGCACTAAATTGCCTAATTTTTTTGGCATTGAATTTAATTTAACAAAATCTCAGTTTTACATTGCGATAAAAAAAGATAGATAAAATCACTAGGCAGAGAAATTCTGTCATGTAATAGGATGTGCATGAATATTTGCCGCTAACTTACATTCCTCAGAAATATAAGGAAACGACGACTGCTGCTTACGAAATTGTATGTGAAGCTTACGCAAACATTTATTATAGTAATACCAATTAGGTGGCTTCACAAGTATATGTTGAATTTCTACCGAATATGAAATCTAGAGTACAGAAAAGATAATCGGAACGAATGGCAGTGCATCTAACGAACCGGGTGTACTTAAAAGAACGAGTAAATTTTGATAAGGTTTGTCAAATCAATGTTATATACAAGCATTAAAGCATTTCTATGTGCTTCGTGGCATATACAGGAATTTGAGTTGCAAAGGTTTGACCTATTTAAGTATTCCAGAAAAATTAAGCCTTGTTCACCTATGACAAGCCACTTCTTTTAATTTTCTGTACAGTTGTTTTTTTATTGGACACGGTTTTCCAGACGTTTCATCTGGATTTCAGACAATCCGGATAAAAACCGAATACTAGATCGGGTCGTGAGGCATTAAAGGTATAGCCATATGTCAAAAAGTCGTATTATTGCGGTCTACGACCGATATAGAAACTTCAATAAAAATTTTATTTGTGCAATGTGCTACGAATATAATGTCGATCAACGTATGATATTTTATCAATCGTAGTACTACGATGAATGGCTTTATACCGTTGTGACCTGGATTTCCTTTTTTTCTCAGACACTAATTTACTTTTATTTAGTTCGTCTGGTGTATAATTTACCGGGGGGTATCAAAAGTATTGCACGGTTTTATTTTTAGCAATAAAATTTTTTTTTATTAAGATCGCAGTAGAT